ACTATCAGGTGGGTCGTATGTCGGTCTGCCTACAAAGGCAATAAAAAAAAAACACTTTTTTTCCTACTTATGCTGATAACCTTGAGAGGCTGTTTCAGTTTTTCCTTAACGTATAGGTGAGCTTACGGGGCTCAAACCGGGTAGACATGATAAGGTACCCGTGAAAGCACCAAGGAAGACAAAGTTAAACGATCCAGGCGCTTAGTAACAGAAATCGACTAATAATTAATTACTTCAGTGTGCGATGTAGGGCACCGGTGACCTATATGGCTGTCAATGGATTAAATAAATTTGTTAACGTCAAAGAAATTAGAACTACGAAATTGTGTTCGATCGGTTATAAGTTATGGCATATTATCTGATCAAGAAAAATATACATAACTAGCTGAACCGCCAGACTTCGTAGTGCCTCAATCGATAAATAAAAAACCTAAGCTTTTGTATAAAATAAACTTAAAACAAACAAAAGGAATCCGTCCGACGGGGGACACATCAAAGGAAAAACAAAATTGTTATTTTTATTTAATTCCGAGCATTTTCATATTTATCTACCTTTTAAACCTTCTCTGGAGTTCCACAAATAATTTAAGAACAAAGTTAGCCAAATCGGTCCAGCCGTTTTCGAGTTTTAGCGAGACTAACGAACAGCAATTCATTTATATATATATAGATTATCGCTCATGTATATTTTTCTTGCGATCCATTGTTCCGTAACATATTACTCGATTATTGAGTATATCATCAGTAACGGCTGCCTCAGAACAAAATTATAGTCGTGCAATAAAAGGGAAGTATTTTGCTAGAACATATACAGTTTTGAATATGCTTAATGCCAAAAAACTTCAACATCAACAGTTAGCTAAAGACAAAAATAGACTTACGGTTGAAATTTTAGCAACCTCAACGTTTTTCTCCTTCCGAAAAACCATTAACTTTGATAATAAATTCAAATGTATTCGGCTGCAGCTCACGTCAAATTATGCACTACGTTATTGCCTAGAGTTAGAGTTAGTGTCGTAACTAGTACTCAGAAGTCTGTTTTTAGAAACAGCCATAAAGGTATGCATTTCTCACATTGTGGGAATCACTCGAGTTTATTTTAAGTAACGTTCGCGCGAATAAAACTATGTTGTTCGTTATCATAAAAATGTACTTAATTATACGGCCTCATTAATGTGGAAAGTTACATGATTTTTTTATTAATTTTTTTTTGCGTACGCATCGCTCATTCCGATCCAGTCAGTCGCTCGTTCAGGTCTAAAGCGGTCCCAAAGCACGGTTAGCTGCCCGTTTCAAGAAGTGTGGATTACAAGGGATTATTTCCAATAATTATTTAAATGTAGTCTTTCTAATATGTACATCCCAACGCACGGTACAAATAATAGAAAAAAAACAAGGTAACTTCATAGATTCAGAGGGCTCGCTTATCTTCAATAGCTGATATAAATTAAGAAAACATGTAGGCCTATTTTACGAATTATATTACAAATTCGTAAATTTGAAATCTAAATTGTTGGCTATACAATAACCGATCGCAAATCGATCTTTAATATTGAATCGTGGTGAACTCAAACAAAGGGCCTGAACAAACGTGAGGCTAATATAATAGTCACGTGAAGCATCAGGCCGGTGGCGCGCCATTAGTAACGCCCAATAATATTGATTCCGATTTATTTTCCATTCGTGACCGGCATCGTAATGGATTATCGACATTAAGGCCACAAATAATTCTATACAAAAAAATCGTACTCTGGAGTTTTCATGTTTAGCTTGTTTTTTTTAATATTTACACGACTGAATGTATATACAGCAAAAACTCCTTATTCGCGCTTCCTTTATTCGCGTTTTCCTATTCGCAGAATAAAAAAAAGTGATCCAATTCCTATGTTCGCGGCTAAAGATTTCTATTGCGGATCTAATCGGTACATGCACATTGATAAAAATGATTCCAATTTGTAGGCATCAAACCAAATATATTATGTAATCACGCTTTTCATTATTCACGGTTTCTGTATTCGCGGCATATTCACGGAACGTTAATCCCGCGAATAAAGAGGTTTTACTGTACAGTTATTTGTTTAATAAAGTGTCTGTATCTTATGTTAACGTTGATAGCTATAGTTGTTATTGCATACATAATTTCGAAGCGCTTGTTAGAAACTCAACTGGATTTTAGAACAGCGTTATTGTTGAATATTGTGTACGGGAGTTCACTTTATGTTGGTTGTTTAGGTGGCATTAGTAGAGAAATTGTTTAAACGTTTTAGTTCGAGCTCTTATGTTCGTTGTTGTTAAATCTTTGAAGTTTAATCTGTTTTAAACAATAAAAGTCTTCAGAAAAAAAGGTTCAGTGGGTTTTGCATAATGCTCGAAAGAACTATTACACAAACGAGTAGTTAATCAAATATAAAATAATTCGTGATTTAGTTCATTGGGAATTACGAGATATAGACAACGAGAATAATTACAAAATAACCTTTTTTTTGGGAAAAAAATTCTTATAAGATTTTTTACAAATACAAAGACAAATTATATAGTATATTTGATTACCAAATAGTAACATTAATGTGATGAATACAGCTACATAATTATTTTAAACTGTAACGCAGCACTATCGGAGTTTTTCGTGGAGCTCTCACTGGTATATTAATTTTTTTAGGAGACTAAAATCTAGAACCCAATGTTTGGAAGTAGCGGTAATATTTCTAAATTTGGACCACCTATGAGTTGTGTATATGTTCCATGGTTTTAAATATTTAACAACACCCAGAAAAACTATCAAATATTTTCTTGATTTTTTTAAGTCTGTAATCTAGTTTATTTAGTCTCACTTTACCAGTGTAAATTATTTAACGAATTCATTACATTATTGTACAAAGGTCAATGTTATAAAAAAATACACATTTAATTAATCGTGCGATAGTTAATGTTATTTATTAACAAAAACGCTAATGTTTATTCAAAGCGAACAGATCCTATACAAGGCAGTCGTTACAAAAATACAATTGGCCGTATTTTCTGCAAGTTGAATTTTCACACCCATTCTTGTCGAGAATATTTGCATACTCTACTCGTACGTGGGTGGAACAATGAGTCTCTTTGAAGATATCAGTTTTATTATTTTGTATTATCCCGAGTGCACTAGACGTTTAAGTGGATTTGATATCTATATGTTAATAGGTGTAAGAAAACTTTTTTTATATTTTTTATTTTAAGCATATTTCACGCGGGGAGGTGTATGCGATTTGGTACATTAAAATGATTTTTTTGTATACAGAAAGATTTTTAAAATGTGTTACAAATGCAATTTAAGTAATGTTTGTTTACGTTCAGACTTTGCAAAAATTATATGATTGTATATAGTAGAATGTTATCACTTTGTTATCACTACTTTTTTATATCATTTTTTTACTAATATGGATGGGCGAGATGACGCCCATCTGGTGTTAAGTGGTCACGGGAGCCCATAGATATCAACAACGTAAATGCCGCCATCCACCTTGAGACATGAGTTCTAAGTCTTAGTTTTCAGTACGACAGCTGCCCCAGCCTTCAAACCGAAACGCAATACTGCTTTACCGCAGAAGTAGGCAGGGTGATGATACCAGCCTGTGCGGGCTCACAAGCCGCGTTTTGTCCTCTATCTAATCGTTGGTAGCCTAAGGGGCTATTTAAACTTCGTGTGGACCGCTAGGTGAGCTTACGGGCCCAAACTGACAGAATTTTACTGGTGGTAGGATCTCTTGTGAGTCCGTGCGGGTAGGTACCACCACCCTACCTATTTTCGGCCGTGAAGCAGTAATGCGTTTCGGTGTGAAGAGTGGAGCAGCCGTTGTAACTATACTTGAGACCTTAGAGCTTATATTTCAAGGTGGGTGGCGCATTTACATTGTAGATGTCTATGGGCTCCATTAACCACTTAACGCCAGGTGGGCTGTGAGCTCCTCCACCCATCAAAGCAATAAAAGAATTTAAAAAAATGCTAAAACTTGCCTTAGCAAGATTAGTGCTTCGCTGAATTTACTACCGGATCGGAATCACGACCAACTGAGAAAATTCGACGAGAAACTCAGTAGTTTATGTCTATGGGAAAAAACCCTACCACCGGTAAATCAGTATTTAAATAGCACGTATTGAAAGTTGATATTATTTAGTACTACATACTTTCTTCGGGTTACGCGAGTCGTAGACATAATTCAATCTACTTTTACTTGCTTTAATGTTTAGTCTCGGATCTTTTAATACTTTTTATTACTTTTATTTTAACGCTTACGAATTTAATAGATTAAAAACATTCTTAAGACAAGTTTTTGTCATTTTAATTGTTACAGCACCTTATATTATAATACTAGCTGATCCCGGCAGATTTCGTAGTGCCTTAATTGATAAATAAAAGACCTAGACTTTTGTATAAAATAAACTCAAAACAAACAAAAGGAATCCGTCCGACGGGGGACACATCAAAGAAAAAACAAAATTGTTATTTTTATTTAATTCCGAGCATTTTCATATTTATCTATCTTTTAAACCTTCTCTGGACTTCCACAAATAATTCAAGACCAAAATTAGCCAAATCGGTCCAGCCCTTCTCGAGATTTAGCGAGACTAACGAACAGCAATACATTTATATATATATAGATATATAGATAGATTATTGAAGCAGCCAACGTCCCGAGGAACAATCTGCCAGGAAGCAGTGTCATTAGCATATCGCATAGAACCGATTCTATCTGTCTACCTCACTACTATGAATAACAATTTATATGTTAAATAGACATTGTATTCAGCCAAAAGTTTATAGCCGATTTTCTGTCATCGGATATTGACTTTCGACCTTTCAAAGGTGGTCAGGTTTTCGTATCACGATAAATAGATTTAGTTTTTTGAGAAATAAAAACGTAAATGAAAGCAATTCACTAAATAAAATGCGCAATGAAATGCGCGCCTTATGTATTTGCGATAAACTAAACTGGTTTTGATAAAAATAGATAGCTACTAACAATACTCGGTACTTCCGGGAAAGCCGGCAATCGGTCGCATCTGACGGGCGAGGGCCGATCCATCTCCTCTCGAATGTCCTGGGAGTATGCGATTATAGTTCTCATTGTAGAAATTCCATGATCATTATCCACTTGTCTGTTTCTCCATCGAACTCTGGCATGCCACTCATTCACAGAAGCTATCCAACTAACACAGATTACAGTCAGTCCAGCTAAGAGCAATTTTGTGACGCGCACTAATTTTCGTGTTTTACAAACCATCGTATTAATTTATAGCAACATTCTTACTAGAGTTTGTAATAAATTATATGTGATGGACGTGATTTCGTGGTAGATTCTGCTGGCGAACGGTACGCGCATGCGCTCCGGGCGCGGTACCATGGCGGACTGCGCCGGATCAGCTGATAGCATATCAACAATGCATCCCTTGCAGCTAATCGTTCTAAGCGCTAGGCGAACGTGGATATCTAGTTTCCTATACCAGTTTTTGCACACGATCCTTCTTTTGCTAAAACTTCTGAACGAGTATCTAAGCGATACTAGTCACGTATAAAAAGCTGAGGTTGTGGCAATATAACACGGAACAAGAAATCCTATGGCTAGATGAATAAACCCGTTCATCCGGCCATTTGTTTAATTGCGTAAGATCGATTATACACGGGTTGCAGTAATTATCGGCTGGCTTCGTACTCCATAGTAACGCTTCGGACTATGGCCATAGCGCGCACAGCGGGTTGTCATCGACGCTATGCGTCAATCGACATTAACTTCAATCGACCCCGTCTCGATTACATCAAACGTATGAAAATAAAAGTTTAAGACTGGTAAATAATTAATTTCGTACACAAGTTAGAAATAATTTAGAAATTGAATAATATTTCGAGTTTTTCAATTTTTATTTGTTTATTTAGTCTTTAAATAAATTTTAATTTAAATAAGTATTAGCCAATGAATGAAATGTTTTCGACACTTAAACTGAATTGTGATTTGATGCAGAATTCACGTAACATGAAATTGATTATAAATAGAAAAATTGAATTTTATTGGATTGCTTCTATAATTTATTTTACGTATTACGTTATGTTTAAATGAAGTATCTATAAAATGCAGAGGACTTTCACTTGGAAATCTCATCAATAGTTATTTTTCTGTGTTCTTCGGTTATGTCACAATCACAGCAATTTTATGACATTGAAACATCAATAAATTATTTTTTATTAATACCATATTAAAAATATTTCTTGTAGTTCGTTAAGGTTGGACAGTCGTTTAGAATATAATGAGACTTCAATCACAGGTCGTTGAGGCCTTTTGAGGTCTATGACCCCCAAAAACCAATAATCATCAGATGAAATCGTTTGACCATCTAGGGCAAAAAGTAAAAGTAAAAATAACGTAGAATCCCCAACGATTAGTAACGAATGCATAAACTTTTCTTTACAAATGGCTGATTTTAGAAAAATGAAATAAAAAAAACATGTGTGCAATTCACACGTGGTAGAAGTGAAACCTTCCAAAATTTAAATACAATTATCCTAAACGTCTTAAGTATATGTGAAATTTTGTCATTAGTAAATAATTGTAAGGTAGCGCCCTCTGTGAATTGATATTTTAATTTCACGTATAATCCTAAATTAAAATTCACTACAAGAGCTTTCATACACACGTTAGTATTAAAAAATCTCACAGATGGCGCTGTATTAAATAGTATGTATATTTCTGTCTCATTCTTTGCTGGCTTCATCCTACACATTTTTGTATTTGTGTCTCTTACCTGTCATTTTTTCCGTTGCATCCGGTTTGAAATCACAACGATTCTAAAGAAGTTTTCACTTCAAAAGTATGCATACATTTAAGTGGTAAATTGCAATGGTTCGCTGTGATTTACAATATATATTAATCGAAAAATCTATCGTATGTTATTGGTATTATGGCAAGAACCTAGCCGACTATGCCAATAATATCTAAACAAATTTTGAAGTTAATTAAATCGCGAATCCATTGACTTCTCTTTTTCTTCAAATGTGAACCACCCAATGCCGAGTATTCCAATTCCAACAGTCAAGTTATCCTGACTTCTAGCTCAGTCATCATATTATCAATAATCAGTAATTATTAATCAACAAGCTACAAACATTCCCCCATTTAGCCCACTTGACCCTTTACCAATAATCATACATTTTGATCTTAATTTTCTGTTTAGTGTGTGTTTGATCTGTCTATCGAAAACATAGGCGTAGTTTAGGTGACCTATCAGGATAACACTAACAAAATAAATAAAAAATTGTTGTTGCATTCTGTCAACTAAAGCGCTGAATCAATCGACACAAGTTGCTGGCCAATTTCTTTTGTGTAACATTACTTATTCATAAAATATAAACTTAGTAAATACAACAAGTATCCCACGTATTCCTAAGTATTATAGTTTGAATAATATGCTTTTCCGATTGTTTTAGGGTAGTTGTTTATTTTTTGTTTCGGTAACTGTATCTTAACGTCCGTCTGGTGTAGTGGTAAGTGACATGGTCACTACACTAGGGGGTCGCGGGTTCGAATCCCGCCAAGGGAAGATATTTGTATGATAAATATAAATGTCTTTTCCAGGGTTATGGATGTATATTAAATATATGTATGTGTATAATAAAAATCTTACATGTATTTCCGATATCTGGTACCTGTAACACAAAAAAAAAACACTCTGTATAAACAATTTTTCACCTTGAATCTTTCCAAATATGTTTGACTTTGCATGTTGAAAATTACGAAACATGTGCATGATAAACGTGCTCTGGGTGGAACATTTTTAAATAAAGGGAATATTAGAAAACTGAAAGTGAATTTTCTAATTCAGAAACATTGTAAAGAAAACAAATACCCACGACGAGAATTATGAATATTGTGAAATTCAAGCATTTTGAGAGCGCAACCCATTTTCTTTTTATTGTTGAAGTTAGAATCGGGTATTTTATAAAAAAAAAGAAGCAGGATAGTTACATCGACTTATTGAAATGAAACTTATTGGAAAAATGTAAAAATGAAAAGGTCAAGGACCTGCTCCTTCATTTGGCGTTTATCAACTTCGAGTAAACCTTTGGTTCGATAGAGACCTGGGCTGTATTGCAGTCTCTCCAACAGTTGAGTGGAGGTTCATCGAAGTGTAGAAGTTTTTGTGTGAAAACACGTCAGTCTGATTACAGGATTGAGGATTTATCTTCAGTGAGGCATGAAACAGGGAGATTAATTCTCGGAAATGTAATATTTAGCATTACAGAGATAGTGGGGATGTTTTCAATGTTCTAAACTGGAAATTATCATTATTATCAAACACGGAGAGTAGATACATTAGGTTTATCGCTAAGACCGTCCATAATCTCATTACAACGCTCAATATATATATTTTTTTTTATTGCTTATATGGATGGACGAGCTCACAGCCCACCTGGTGTTAAGTGGTTACTGGAGCCCATAGACATCTACAACGTACATGCGCCACCCACCTTGAGATATAAGTTCTAAAGTCTCAGTATAGTTACAACGGCTGCCCCACCCTTCAAACCGAAACGCATTACTGCTTCACGGCAGAAATAGGCAGGTTGGTGGTACCTACCCGTGCGGACTCACAAGTGGTCCTACCACCAGTAAATCAGTAGGGCCATTATTCATCGGGTTCTTAGTGTGATCGTGAAAAAGACAAAAATTACGCCTGTGGAAATCGACGTAGCCTGAAAAATAGTGGCCAGGGTCAAAAAGTTTTTGACAACCACCCGCCGGTCAGCGCAGCGTGAGTAGCCGGCAAGATGACCAAGGACCTGATAAATTTCCTGAAAATCTACTGGATACAGACAGTGCAGGACATGTCAATTTTGTAGGGTAGGGTAAGCTTATCTATGTCTACTGGTGTTTCTCTATAGGCTGATGATGTAAAAATGTAGTCCTTTTATTCAAGATTATCAAATTAAAGTTATGAAACATAAAAAATGATGAAAGTAAACTACATCCATAATTTTATGTTTTGCTTGTTTTTAGTTTTGCACAGATTATAATGGACGAGGTTATAAACTGTAATGGAATTGCATGTATGTCGTTGTTTTAGTGTAATTATTATTTTCGAAACCATTCATAGTAATTTGATTCGTATGCCCACTATGTTTAATGAAATTTCTGAATCACATTTTTGCCTTGATACCTATAATATTTTTTGATGGTAATGTAATATGACATGTCCTTCTTCAAACGAGGCTTGTGGAGAGTATTAAGCGGTAGGCAGCGGCTTGGCTCTGCCCCTGGCATTGCTGAAGTCCATGGGCAACGGAAACCACTCACCATCAGGTGGGCCGTATGCTCGTCTGCCTACAAGGGCAATAAAAAAAAAAATTGGCACTGACATGACGCAGCGATGACAATAGAACAAACATGCGACTATGCTAACTTGAAATGAATATAGTAATTAATCATAAATTAATGATTTAATATGCACGAAATTATTATATCGTTTCCAAGGTAAGCCGGCATTTATTTCACATCTATTGTTTTTCAGTCCTCTTAATTACTCCTTTTCCATTACAATTATGGTAGAATTTCAATTGTTGTGCGAGCACCAGTATGAATTATTTGAATTTGAGGTAGAAGCTATGTAATGCACATTAAGAAATATTACTTTTTTTCAATGTAGGGGTCGGCGCCAAATAACTTATCATTTTTAATTATTTTTTTTATTGCTTAGATGAGTGGATGAGCTCACAGCCCACCTGGTGTTAAGTGGTTACTGGAGCCCATAGACATCTACAACGTAGACGCGCCACCCACCTTGAGATACAAGTTCTAAGGTCTTAGTATAGTTACAACGGCTGCCCCACCCTTCAAACCGAAACGCATTACTGCTTCACGGCAGAAATAGGCAGGGCGGTGGTACCTATCCGCGCGGACTCACAAGTGGTCCTACCACCAGTAAAATTTCATTGTCACGCGGGGCCTCTAGTTTCTAATCAATATCACAAAAGGGTTGTCGCTCGACGAATTTTTAAACTAAAAGTTAAATCCAAAACTACCACATCGGTCAGAAAATTGTCGCGCCAATTTATAGAAAGAACAACAAGCAAAAGAAGAAGATTCGGTGTGAACGGTTTGATTTACTTTAAGCTTGAATTGAGACAATGTACGTTAGAACAACAATCCAAGGAAGCGAGGCATAAAATTATTTCCTGTTTTGGTTGAACAGATTTTAACCCACAAACCGATAATTTAGATCACGTAAAAAAAGAAACGTTAAATTATGAATGTATTTTTTTGGTTCAATGCAGCCTGGCTCAATTCACACATTTAATTGGAAAATTTGGCATAAAGTATTATATTTTTTTGCTGTGATCGATAATTTATGTA